TGCTACACCTGCCCCCATACCTCCTCCCTCACCCCCATCCCAGGCCCCAAGAAGACTTTCCACATCAAGCAGATGTCCACCTGCACATCCGCCAATGTGGTATACTGCATCTGCTGTACTCGTTGTGGCCTCCTCTACATCGGGGAAACCAAGTGGAGGCTCGGGGACCGCTTTGCAGAACTCCTACGCTCGGTTCGCAATAAACAACTGCACCTCTCAGTCGCGAACCATTTCAACTCCCCCTCCCATTCCTCAGACGACATGTCCATCCTGGGCCTCCTGCAGTGCCACAACGATGCCACCCGAAGGTTGCAGGAACAGCAACTCATATTTTACTTGGGAACCCTGCAGCCCAATGGTATCAATGTGGATTTCACAAGTTTCAAAATCTCCCCTCCCGCTACCGCATCCCAAAACCAGTTCAGCTCGTCCTCGCCTCCCTAACCTGTTCTTCCTCCCACCTCAAGCCGCACCCCCAACTCCTACCTACTAACCTCATCCTGCCCCCGTGACCTGTCTCTCCTCCCTGGACTGACCTATGCCCTCCCTAACTCCCCACCTACACTCACCTTTACTGGCTCCATCCCCGCCTCTTCGACCTGTTTGTTTCCTCTCCACCTATCCTCTCCTCTATCCATCTTCTATCCGCCTCTCACTCTCTCCCTATTTATTTCAGAACCCCCTTCCCCTCCCCCATTTCTGATGAAGGGTCTAGGCCCGAAACGTCAGCCTTTCTGCTCCTATGATGCTGCTTAGCCTGCTGTGTTCATCCAGCTCTGCACCTTGTTGTCTCGGATTCTCCAGCATCTGCAGTTGCTACTATCTCTGATTCAGTTGCAACCTTTTCCTGTCCACATTCATGGAACAAACCTATTGCTAAATGTAATTAATGGTAACAGACTGGGGACAAAGACAAAGGAAGTATTGAGATTTATAGTATTAATAAGTAATCGTGGAACTGCTGGTCTTATATAAACCTGTATAATCCTTTATTCTTTCCTTATTGGGGCTACCCATGACTTGAGGTGGCACAGGTCACTTGTACTGCTGGACACAGAATTGGAGACTTCTCTTTGACATCTCGCCCCAGCATTCCTTAACAATTCAAACTCAATGCAATCAATAGTCATAAAGAAAAGGAATTTACTCACTGGTCAACCTTTGATTCCCTCCCTGACTGACATTGGTTTCTTATGAAGTTCCAACCCACTGAGGTCTCTCCACTTGCCTTAATCTGGTCTCTTCAACATCCCTGATTTTCAACACTTCGCAATCAGCAGCCATGCCTTCAGCTCCCTGTAGGCCCAAAATTTTGGGATTCCCTCACTGACTAGACTGCACCAACTCTCCACCTTTGTTTCTTCCTGTAAGAAGCTCATTAAAACCAAACATCACCTTTATCTCCCTTAACATCTATCATCATATTCGTGTCTTTTATTTTCTTTATTTATTCACGGGATGAGGCCGTTGCTGGGGAGGCAGCATTTATTGCCCATCCCTAATTGCCCAGAGGGCAGTTAAGAGTCAACCACTTAAGTTTCATGATTTTCCACAAAATAATTTGGGAAATTTTTATTATGTTCAAAGTACTTTATAAATTATATGTTGTTGTTAGAAATCTGTGTGGAACAATTTTGTCCATCTCCAGTATAATTTGACTCACTAATTCTCACCTGGGGAACAACAGAAAGAAAGACTTGCATTTTCATAACGACTTTCACAACCGTAGGATGTAACAAATTGCTTTTATGACCAATGAAATAATGCTTGCTGGTTGTCACTGTTGTAATGTGGGAAATGTAGGTGACCAATTTGTGCACAGCAAACTCCCACAAACAGTGTTGTGATAATTACAAAATAATCAACGACAGTGCCACGAGTTGAGGGATGAATATTGACCAGGGCACTGGGTAGAACTCCTCGGCACTTCAATGATTTGGCAGTGATATTATTTGGAAGATGTCTGTGGACAGTAGGTCAAGTGTGAAGTGGATTAATTTTTGTCATCATTCACATTTCAAAAGGTGCCACTTTGAGTTTCATTGGAAATGATGTCTACTCCGCTTATGATCAATTCAGACTTGTTGTCAGCTGTTCCTTGATCCAAAGATGACATAAAGCTAACCTTAAACCAAAAGAAAATCACAAAACTTACAATTAACAACAGCATGTACCCTATCAGTCAACCTTGGCCACAACACATTATATTGTGATCAACACTTCCAAAGGTCGGGAGCCTTTCCAATGCACACAAAGAGTTTGCTTCAAATAAAACCGTACGTCAACAAAAAAACTCAATTCCGTCTCAATCAGATGTCTATTTTTTTTAAAGCTCCAGACGTACTTATGGCTTTTTTCTTTTAATTGTTTTAATATGATACATGAACAGTGGCAGTATTATTTAAGTCTACTCACCATGAGTGCGCTTGATTTAAAAATCTTGACATTTAGTCAACACGAAGACTATTTACTGCTTTGCAGTCTCCGAACAGAATGTTTCTGTTTTTTTGGGACATTAGCATGAGTATTGGAAAGTGCAGCATCAGCACCTCCGTCGTCAATTTTTTTAAAAAGTCCTACGTTGACAACCAAAGGAGGGAAGTCAATTGTAATTTTTATAGATTAATAGAAGCATCAGGATGAGTTTGAGAAAGGACATCCCTGAAATTAAGGGAAAATAGGAGGATACAGTGTAGGCAAGAGTCTGGTGTTTGAGAAGCATTCAGGGTACCTTGAGGACTGAGAGGAGAGCACACCAACTCCCCTTTGTGCACAGCCAGGGGAACAGATAGATCTTGGAGAACTGACAGATCCTGTCTTGGATCAGCTACAGGGACTCTGTGGTTCCCCTTTCACTTACACCTACATTTAAGTCATCAGACCACAATTCATTAGGAATCTACCTGCCTTTTCGACATGTTTTGTCCATTATTCGATCCCTGCTGTTATGGACCAGACCAAACCCCCTCAAACTATTCAGAAGATAATCTAGACCCTAACATTTTCTTATTTTAAAGTGTTGTGTTCCAGATGCAATTTGATTGGTCAAACTGCCGGATTTAAGGCAAAACACACTTTATTCATCCAATATAGTTAAAATACATCAAAAGAAGGAAATAATTGTAAAAGCTTAACTCTATTGGAAAACTTAGCAGAAGAGTAGATGCAGTAACTATTACTAATTAACTGCTCCAATATAGAAACATCCTAGAAACACACCCTTGGCAAAAGGCAAATTCAGAAAACAGATTGTTTCACATGCAATTCACGTAACAGGAACAGAACCCTCAGATTTTGGCTGTAACCAAGAGAGGGGTACAAATAGCTTCCACGTCTTCAAGATCCCAACAGCAACTGCTGAAAGCTAAACCTAAAAATCCCTGGTCCTGTGGGAACTCAAACACACACATTCAGGCTGCTTCTATTATTCCAACTGTTAAGAAAACACCCAAGGCTTCACAAGTTGTTTATCTTCTCATAGACTGCTAGGTACATGTCCCCCACACTCTGTCTAAAAGCAACCGGGACAAAACACATCTCTTAAAACCACAGTATTGTCACATTGCATTGTAAAAAATTTAATTGGCTGGAATAGGTATTGTCCAGTCCTGATTTTATACCCTTGAGGGGTGGGTGTCTTTAACATTGACATCAATGTTCATATGTCACAGGAAAGCACTTATTAAGCTTAAGCTACAGTCCTCCCTGAAAAAGGATGGTAGCCACTCTCTAAGGTACTCACCCTTGCCAAACTGGTCCCAGAGGGAACTTTGTAAGGGACGTACTTTCTGTAAATGTGTCCCACCCTGGAACAAGGAGCATCGTACATGTGACCTCCACACATCCACACCTACAGAACAAAGGGAAAAGAAAGTGACAGGTATTAGTGATTTTCCCCTGTACGCTGCAGAGACTAGAAATATTTCCGTTGTTTGCAGCATAGCAACAATACCAAATAAGGAACAGTGGTATGATAATGTTGTTACTGGTCTTGAATTCAGCAGACTCAGAACGATTAGCATCTCCTGATCCATCCAGGCACAGACCACTTCAAAGCTCGGAGACTTGGCTGTGAGGTGGAACATCAGTGACAGAGGAAGGAGGAAGATGCCAACCCAGGTTGTGAATCCAGTTCCCTATAACCTGTCCCCACTGTGGAAAATCCCTTAGATCTTACATTGACCTCCTCAGTGATACAAAGAGTCATCGTGCTTCAGAGACACTGTCATTGATTCTGAGGCATTGCTGACAGTGAGTACAGATTCTATTTCTTGGAGCAATGAAGGTTGGTGGGAGATCTGGTAGCAGTCGACATATTCATAACTGAGGGAGACGGAGAGAATCTGTTTCCATTTACTGAAGGTTTACAGGCTCAGATCACAGATTTCAGATTTGCTCCAAGAGATGCAGGGGGAATGTGAAGAAGAACTATTTTTAGGGGTGAGTGGTAATGACCTTGAACCAAGTGCCTATGAAGGTGGCAGAAGTAGAGATAATGATTTCAAAAGGGAATTGGATGAGTAATGCAAGAACAAAACTCTTACGGACATTGAGTGGTGCAATAAAGCTACTTAGAGAGCTGACGTGGACTTAATAGGACATATGACTGTCTTCTGTGCAGAAAGCTACAGCATTGAAGTATTTGACAGTCCTTCAGTATAAATTACAAACAACTAGCATTCAAAGTAGGGTAATGGAAGGCAAATGGAATGTTGGCCTTTATTTCAAAAAGAATTAAGTGTAAAAATAGGGAAATTTTGCTAAATATATGCAATACCATGGTTGGAATACTATGAACAGTTTGGGTTCCCGTATCTAAGGAAAGATATACTGGCATTGGAGGTGTCAAGAGAAGGTTCATAAAGTTTATCCCAGGTATGGTTGGACTGTGTTATGAAGAGAGGATGAGCAGGTTGGACCCGTACTCATTGGAGTTTAGAAGAATGAGAGACAATCTTAGAGACATAGTCCTAGAGTCATACAGCATGGAAACAGACTCTTCGGTCCAACCAGTCCCATAATCCCCAACTAAACAAGTCCCACCTGCCTGCACTTGGCCAGTATCCCTCCAAACATTTCTTATTCATGTACTTATCCAAATGTATTTTAAATGCTGTAACTATACTCACATTCACGACTTCCTCTGAAAGTTAATTCCACACATGAACCACTCTCTGTATGAAAAAGTTGCCCCTCATGTATTTTTTAAATCTTTCTCCTCTCACCTTAAAAATACGCACCCAGTGTTGAAATCCTCCACCCTAGGGAAAAGAAATCAGCCATTCACCCTATCTATACCCCTCACGATCTTGGAAGCCTCCATAAAGTCAATTCTCAACCTCATATGCTCCGTAAAACATCCCAGCCTATCCAGCCTCTCCTTATACCTCAAACCCTCCATTCCCACTAAAAACCCAGTAAATCTTTTCTGAACCCTCTCCAGCTTAATAATATTCTTCCTATAACAGGGCGAACAGAAAATTATTGCAACATTCTTGGGCAACTTGACAAGGTAGATGTAGAAAGGTTGTTTCTGTTGTGTGAGAGTCTAGGACCTGAGGACATAATCTCAGCATAAGAGGTTGCCGATTTAACACAGAGATGAAGAGGGCGGTGAATCTGTGGATTTTCTTTACCACAGAGGCCTATTGATGCTGGGTCATTAAATATATTCAAGTCTGAGATAGACATATTTGTGATCAGTGAGGCAATCAAGGGTGATGGGGAAAAGTCAGGGAAGTGGAATAGAGGATTATCAGGTGACACAGTGGCTTGGTGGTTAGCACTGCTGCCTCACAATGCCGGGGACCCGGGTTTGATTCCACCCTCGGGTGACTGTCTAAATGGAGTTTGCACATTCTCCCCGTGTCTGCGTGGGTTTCCTCCGGGTGCTCCGGTTTCCTCCCACAATCCAAAGATGTGCAGGCTAGGTGGATTGGCCATGTTAAATTGCCCATAGTGTTCAGGGATGTTTAGGTTAGGTGGGACGGACATGGGAAATACAGGAGTAGGGGAATGGGTCTGGGTGGGATGTTATTTGGAGGGGTGGTGTGGACTTGTTGGGCTGAATGGCCTGTTTCTATGAACTCTCTGAACCTTGATGTCATTGAATGGTGCAGCAGCCTCAATGGGCTGAATAATCTATTTCTGCTCTTGCATCTTATGGTACCTTGGACTCTACTCAAAGTGGTTTCTGTTACATTGAACTGTCAGAAAGATCAGTAGATCAAGAACAAGTACACTCATCACCTTCCTCAGGGACACTGAACTTATAGCCTTGTCAAAACTGTCACAGCCCAATAATACAGAGATCCACCATTTTTCTTCTCAATCTCAAGAATACTTGTGGGATGCTGCGTTAATGAAAGAATTCTTTTGTTCTTTGTATTTCATCTCTCTTTCTGGGGGAATGAAACATAGAAACATAGAAAATGGGAGCAAGAGTAGACTATTCAGCCCTTCTGCCATTCTATACGATCATGGCTGATTATCAAACTCAATACCCTGTTCCCACTTTCTCACCCTTGGAGCCCTAGAATTAATTCTAACTCCATGAAAACAGAGAAGTCCCACCAAGGAGAATAAAACCCCTGAAAAAGAAACATTTGGAAAACCAGTTGTCCAAAAAAATCAAGACAGAGGGTCAGACATGATTCTGGACTGTCACGTCAAATGTTCAAGAGTTTGAAACAGAATTCAAACTTGACACAGGGAAGCTGTTTCAATATTAGCTGACAGCTTGCCATTGCTATAATGAGTGAAACCTGCACTTACAAAGGGCAAACTACAAGGTCCAGGCAGCACAGAACTTAAGGTGCATGGCCAATTTATCACCAAATTCCATTACAAAAGATGAGAGGTTAGTGTGACTCTCTACATACTGAAGAACCAGAACAGCAGAAATGCGTGCATTCAGCTTGTTCTCTTGGTGAATGCAATGCTCCTTGAGGCAAATGGCAGAGAATTGCACCGAGAATTTATAAGGTTAATCAGAGGCTTAGGCAAATTTAAACAGGAGTACCATGTTATTCTGCATTATATGGTGTTTCAGTGGTTAGCACTGCTGCCTCACAGCGTCAGGAACCCAGGTTTGATTCCACCCTTGGGCGACGGTCTGTGTGGAGTTTGCACATTCTCCCTGTGTCTGCATGGGTTTCCTCTGGGTGCTCTGGTTTACTCCCACAATCCAAAGGTGTGCAGGTTAGGTGGATTGACCATGCTAACATGCCCATAGTGTCCAGGGATGTGCAGGCAAGATGGATTAGCCATGGCAAAATGCAGGGTTATGGGGATAGGGCAGGGGCGTGGGATGCCCTTCGGAGGGTTGGTGTGGACTCGATGGGCTGAATGGCCAGCTTCCACATTGTAGGGATTCTATTCTAAGAAAATATTGAGTCCTTCTGCCTGCATGCTCCAAGGAAAGTACCTTGTTCACAATGAGAAAAGGTGAAGACTCAGCTAGATAGTGAATTAAAATGCAAGGTCAGACCATCAGTGACAGAACCAACACAACATTGCTCAGGACAAGTAACAATTTTCAAACCTAATTGTGAACTGAGATGGTGCATGGATTTCTCTCAATTGAATAAAGGGGTTCAAAGAGCGGTTCATTCATTTCAATGAATTGAATGACTAAATTAGCCAGAACTCTCTCAGCATTTACCTTGTCAAGTTCCATAAGAATCCTGTATGTTTTAATGCGATCACCTCTCATTCTTCTAAAATCTAGTGATTAGAGTCCCAACCTTTGCACGTGATCCGTCCATACCGGGAAGCATCTGAGTGAACATTCTCTGAATTGCCTTCGATGAAATAATATCTTTCCTTAAAGAAGGGGACACAGATCTCCAGATGTGATCTCACCAGCATCTTGTACAGTTGCAGTGTGACTTCCCTACTCTTATACTCCAACCCCTTTGAAATAAGGGCCAATATTCCATTATTCCTAATAACCTGCTGCCTGTGTACTAGCTTTCTGTGTTTTATGCACAAATATCCCCAAGTCCCTTTGTGTTGCATCTTTCTGCAGCTTTTCTTCATTTAACTAATACTGTTCTTTTGTTGTCCCTTCCAAAATGAATAACTTCACATTTTCTCACATCATATTCCATTTGCCAACTTCTAGTTCACTTTTCTAACCTGGAATGTGACACTCAGCACTTGACACAATACTCCAGCTGAAGTCTAACAAGTGTCTTATACCAGTTCAGCGTCACATTTTTGCTCTTGTACTCTATAGCCCTATTAATAAAGCCTATGATATTGTTATGCTTTATTAACAGCTCTCTCCATTTATCCTACCACCTTCAATAAACTGTGTACACATACAACCAGGTCCTCTGTTTCTGCTCCCTCTTTATAATTGTACCCTTAGCTCACCCTTGTAATTGCACCCTTGTCTGTCCATGTTCTTCCTACTAAATTGTATCACATCACACTTCTCTGCATTGAACTTCATCTGTCACCTATCTGCCTACTCCATCAACATGTCTACATCCTTTTGAACTTCCATGCTGTCCTCACAGTTCACAATACTTCCAAGTTTTCTATCTTCCTCAAACTTAGAAATTGCTCCTGCACACTAACTTCGAGATCATTGATATATATCAGGAAAAGCAAAGGTCCAAATATTGATCGCTAGGGAACTCCTTTACAAACCTCCTTCAACCCAAAAAATATCTATTGACTAGTTTTCATTTCCTATTACTCAGGTAATTCAGTATCCATGTTGTTATGTCCCTTTTATTCCAAGAGCTATAATTTTTCCCACAGTCCATTGTATCGAATGCCTTCTGGAAGTGCATATACACCACATCAATAGTATTGCCCTCATCGACCCTTTCTGTTACT